CTATATCTATATCTATATCTACAAATATCTATCTTTACTTATATATATAAACCTCATTGCAGGCATATATACTAAATACTATTTACTGCATTCCTCATACGCACGCAGGAGAAGAGTAAGGAGCGTATTGTCATACGCCCGGGTAGAGCCGTTCCTTACTGCTACGACAACCCAGTGGCCAAACCAGTGTTGCAGTGGCGTGTGCTGCGGACGAAGAAGTGGGTGACGGTGGACATGGGTCTGGTCAAGCGAGAATTCACCATGCACAAGTATGTGCTGCTTAATGTATACGTGTGTACGTCTTAATACATACGTATATACAGCCGTCTGTCTGTGCTTTGACCTGTACTGTTCGTTTTATCTATATCCCATTTGTTTGTATGTAGTAACTGACTGTTTATCTATAACCCATTTGTTTGTTTTTTGTCATAGAGAGGGTGACCGTGAGCGCATCCTGCAGAGTATACCGTTCCCCGATGGTCCTACCCGAATTCTGGTGATAACGGTACGTGTATATGGTATTGCGGCACGTTAGGGTTCAGGGGTTCAATATGGGTTTAGGGTTTCAATCAGAGTATTACGGTACGTTAGACACACAGTAGTATATGTAAATGGTATCATTTGCTTCGTTCTCTGAGGGCTTTAGCGGGTGAGTGTTTTGTCTACCAGTTTGCACAGGGCATTGGTTCTCCCACCAGAATGGACTATCCCAACGTATTCTTGTAGTAAACTCCTCACGTGTCGAAAATTCCTGCCTTGTACAACAGGACCAGACCCGCATGATCAATACTATTCTGGATAGCTTTGCCTCGAGCATTTCCTCAGCCACAGAGTCAACGGCACCCACATTTGAACTACACCTCAACTGCGTGGGCATGGGTGTGAGTTTCGTAGCAAGCAAACCCATGGAGATCATATACATGCAGGTACGTACAAGTGTATGCACATGTATATATATCTATATATATATATCTATATATATATCTATATATATATCTATATATGAATCTATATATATATCTATATATATATATATATATATATCTATATATATATCTATATATGAATCTATATATATATCTATATATATATATATATATATATACTATATATATATATATATATATATATATATATTATATATACATACATACATACATAATACATACATAACACATACATA